CCCCCCCCTTCAATTCCTCTTCCACTCGTTCTCTCTCTCCCTCTCTCTTTCTCTGGTATTGGGCTGTTGGCACGATTGGTATGTCCGTCCGTATAGTAATGTTATATGAGCAGGAAAGGTTGATCAGACCGCGTGCGTCTGCAACGCGCGTGGGAGAGAGTAGGGGGTTGTGAGAGGGTTGAGAGAGAGAGAGAGAGAGAGAGAGAGAGAGAGAGAGAGAGGCATCCGCCGTCTGGTCTCACGCCGACCTGACAATCAATTAACGTGTCGTCGGACTTCCCATGGCCATAGCGCCGTCTAGCGCCACGGCTGGCGCGCCTTACCTCACATGGGAACACCCTTCTTCTTTGGAACATCCCCGCCGCCCCGCCCCACCCCACCAGCCGAGCCGTACGTAGAGCCGTACGTCGTCGTACCTGGGGCTTCGCACGCCCCCACCGCGCCCCGCCCCGCCGCCGTACTGCTTCCCCGCGCTGCCCGCGCCTTGTTGATTTTTTCTTCTTCCACCTTCCTCCTTAGTGTTGTTATTATGATTGCATTTTTCTTTTCGCTCGCGCTCCCCTTTACTATATTGATCCTTAGCGCTCCTTGCCTTCCCCAGCGTGCACGTGCGTGTGTGTGTGCGTGTGGCAGCCGACGGCCGCAACAGTCTTAATGACACGATTAATTAAGTCGGCTCTTGTGAAGCCAGCTCGGCCGCTTTTGCTCCGCTGCTGTGTGTGTGTGTTCGACTTATTTAGTGCGAACTGTCTGTCCTCGTCGCTCCCGTGCGCGAGCGGGCTTGAACTAGGTGTAATGTGGGAGCAGCACAGCGCGCCCCGCCACTTCAAACGAGCTTCTCGTAACTCCGCGGCCCCGCTTATTAGGGGGTCCTCCCTGGCAGCGGGGGCGGGCGGGCGGCTGATGCGGAGTCGGAGAGGCACAGCGAGCGAGAGGAGTTTGACTCGCTTAATCTCCACAAAGCCACTACGAACGCCATGGTTGGCATTGTCATCGTCGGAATCAACAGTGTTCATGTCGTAAAAGGAGGATGGAGAGGGGGGGGGGGGCTACTACTTCTATGACTCCGGAGTTGCCGGGCGAGCCCAGCCCCCCCCCCCCCCCGGAAGCAGCAGGGGCGGCCCGTCCAGCCACGTCCGGCCTCTTTGTACCACAGGAGATGAAACAGAGATTTGCATCGCCATTATTATTTCTTCCGAAAAACGAGATGGGTATCGCTTTTCGAGCGTTATAGTATATTCGGTGTGCATCGCGAGGAGCGGGCGGAGGCCGGGCCAGACCGCCGGACCGGCCGGGATGGCAACAATAGTGGGAAACGGGTCAGAACGCCCCCGCCGAGGCCCCGCCGAGGCCCCGCCGAGGCCCCGCCGCGCCCCCAGCGCGCCCCCCGCCGATGCCGCACGCGCGCTTCGCTATCTGTCCACGCGCATTCTCCTCATGCTGCGATTAGACGCGCGAGAGAAGTGCAAACACGGGCGTGCGCTTAAGACCGACCTGCTTACATTTTCATACACTAGCCGGGAGGGAGGGAGAGGGAGGGTAATCAGCGTCTAATTCTATTCCGCACTTGGCTCGAATCATTTATTCCACTTACCCCGATTCATTCATTCAAAAGAACAAACCATTGTATATATTCTAACAAAAATGCAGTTATGTTGGTCAGCAGCAGAAAGAGGCAAAGGTTACCTGCTGGTGACATTTTATTACGCAACGCCGTTTGATGCTAATTGCCTTCATTTTTTAGGAATTACAAACAAAACTACAAACAAAAAAGTGTGTTAACGAAGTGCTTCCTCAAAATTCATCCGTCGTAGCAAAATTGTCAACTTTTGAGGACATGATCTTAGGGATTTAATTATGCTGGCGAAAAATCAAATACGACCTAACCCAACCTCACCTCCCCTACCCTGCTGCCACCTCCCGGCCTTCTAACCTGCAGCTGAGCCCGCCTCCAGTCGGGCCGGCTTAGCTCAGGTCAGTCCCCGCGCGGCGCTGCCACCCTGCCGCCCCGTGAAATATGATGATTCTGCCAGATTATGCTAATGCCAAGTTTTCCCGTGACACACTGTACGTCTTCTTGGGAGCAGGCAAGGCGGCGGCGGGGCGCCGCGCGGAGACGTGTACACCCACTAAGCCGGTTGTTCCAGCTCGGACACTGAGGGCCGGCGCTGCTGCTGCTGCTGCTAGGGTCCCGCTGCTGGAGAAGCAGTACGAGTTCCAGCAGCTTCTTGGAATAACTAAATATGCGCCTAATCTTGCGTTCTAGAGATAAGAACGACGCCCCGCGGTGTGCTGCTGCATGGCTCCGCGCGCGCGTGTGAGCGCGCAAGAGTGAGTGAGATAGATAACCAGAGGCAGAGTGAGAGGGAGGGGTGGGGAGGGGGGCGGACTGAAACTCATTTAGCTCGCCAGTCTTTGGGGCTGCTCTGCAGCAGTCTGTCCCAAACGCAGTGGTAGTGCCGCTGCAAGGTTGATTGAATGGGCATCCCCCTTTCCACCCTCCCACCCCCTCCTTTCCCCTCTCTCTCACACACAAGCAGTAGCAGTGCGCGCCACATTCGAATTATTGCGCCCTGCTGAAAGGCTGGGAAGGGACGGGTCAGAGGACAGGAGAGAGAGTCAGGAGCAGAGAGGAATAGGGGGTGGAGCGGACCAAGAGAGCCGGAAGAGAAAAAAGAAGAGAAATGTCCGCTTGGTGTGTGGGGGAGGGGGGGGGAGGGGGTTAAGGCTGAGCCTGAGCCAGCCCGGCCATCCCAGCCCAGCCCGTCGGCTGATCCTGGCGGGCGGAGAGAGAGAGCGAGAGGGGCTGCTAAAGCTGGATCACGGCTGAAGGCGGGGAATTAGGGGGAGTTTGAAGATTAGGGGACTGATCCTGCGAGCAGCGCGCCAGGGTCACCTGGAGTGGGGCAATGCCCGCGACCTCACGCAAAAATATACGTAACGACGACATTTTAGAGAATGTCCTTATCAAGTTTTCGTATTTTCGTGTTGCCCTCTATAGTCGATCGCACTGTGTGTGTTGAGTGTGTGTGTATATATGCGAGCGTTACGTGGTGGGGTGGGTCGGGGCTCAGGTGTCCCCCCTCCTCCCCCACCCCTTCCTCCAGCGGGCTGCTGTGGGCCCCCAGGCCCCCTTGGGGGCGCCCGCCCGCCGGATCAGCTGGATGAGGGGAGCTGCACCTAATCTCAAGCAGATTGTGTGGTGCGGACCGCGGGGAGGGACGGGGGTGAGGGTGGATGAAGGGGGGTTTCCTGCTTGGACACAGTGGCGCTATCTCGCTCCTCACACCTGCCCGGTGCCTTGACTACACACGTCAGCTCTCTCTCTCTTCCCCCCTCTCTCTCTCTCACACACACACACACACGCACTCGTAACGTGTTTCGCGGCGCGCTTAATCTGGCAGTGCACGGCTTCCTTTTCTCTATGTTGTCTGTGCTTTTTGATGGCATCACGGGAGAGCTCCTCTCCATTAGCTGATCTCCCCCTCCACCGCACTCGGGCCCGTGCGTCTTCTCTCTTCTCTCTCTCTCGCTCCCTCTCTCCCTGCCTCTCCCTCTGCCCACGCACTCGCATTGCCACTCTGGCTAGTCCGCTCTCCCCACCTTGCACAGACACACGCACACTCTCTCACAAAGCGGTGTCTCCCACAGAGAGTGCTTTTTAAAACGGAAGGGGTGAAGCGCTCCGGGCTCTCTCACCTGTAACGGCCTCTTCCCCTTGGTCAAGCTAGCGTAACCAAACAAGTAGTAAAGAAAGAGCGAGAGAGGTAGGTAACGGGGGAGGGGAGAGGGGAGGCAGGAGCGGGGGAGGGGAAAGAGGGGGGGGGGGAGGCTTCTCTGTCACCTGCCGAGTGGGGGAGTCGAGGGTGCTCATCACGCTCGTCATCATGACAGTTACAACATGCCAGGCCAACCTCTTTCGGTTCGTATCACCGCGTGTCTCTTACATGTACGCTACACGCTGTGCATGCTGTACGGCACATTTGTGGGCCCCATTCCTGTTTGTTGTTTTCTAGTCGTCTGACAGCTCTCTCTCTACACGCTTGGGGGGGGGGGGGACTGATAAAGTCCGATATCATTTCCAAAAACAAAGAACAAATTGTTCGATTTTCGCCAGCAGCAGCACATTGCAGT